TATATATATATATATATATATATATATATATATATATATATATATATACCAAAAATATTGTATATATCATTAATATATATTGCGACACACATACACACATAACACATAAAATTATAAGTAAAATTCTACCTCGAGTTCTGTCGGGAATTATAGATCGTCTAAAGTAGACGTTAATCGTATCAGATATGCAATACTGTCTTCTTTCAAGAAAACTAAAAGTTTTGATAGCTTCAGTTACTGAATACAATTTTCAGCCAAGTCAAGTTTCTGTATTTATTTTATATAACATCCGTGCTTCCTATTCAATGATTAATAAATACAAAAATTAATCTTTCCAAAATTAACGACAGTGTAAATTTTGAAACTTAACACTCAGAAATGTTGAAGAAAATTTTTCAACATCTCTCTTGCGTGTGCACATGGGCTCAAGCAAACTCATAAAAAACACAAATTTTTCTCAGAATAAATCAAGAGCTAAGCGGTACACATCTCTCTTAGAAATAAATCGTAATGTTTTATGGCTGATGCATTTTAGCCATGGTTAGTGTGCAAATTAATTTAACGAAGTGTAAGGAAAAATTCAGGGACTAATCTAGCTATTTTGATACACGACGTAAAAGGTACGAAATACGCGTATTACAATATTCCCTTTAATAACCTAATTTCTTTTGTCCATATTTTTTAATGAAACGCCACATGTAATAACTCTCTCTCTCTCTCTCCAAATGCTCGCATTCTCTGATGCTACGTGTGATGTGATGATGAGCAGGCCGCCGTCACCTAGGGCGGAAATGTTGTTTTACAAAATCCGGTGGAGTTGGAATTTCGACTCTGGGAATATTCGTCCACGGCGCGGATGAAATTGGGATTTGTCGGATTTCCGGATATTCCGCATTGCACTACGGCGTTACGGATATCCGGATTTTTCAATATAGCAGGTAATCTCAATCGTACTCTTCCTTTTTTTTATGCAATGTATTGCAACGTGTATGACGCAGGCTATATTAATTTGTTCTGGAATATTTGCCATCACTGCCGTTCGAAATTTTATAATGGAATATGTACTGACCAATCTGAATATGAAGCGCTCTATTTCTCTCGTCATTTGGCCGTTTTATAATTTTTCCCCCCCCCCTTTGCATTGTTCGTGTTAGAATATCAATGCACACAATGCTCGAGAAATTTTGCAGTTAATTTTAGTGACGTTGTTACCGCTTTCTGTTTCATCGGGCAGGAAACATATTGAAACCGTTGCAAGAAATCCGATATTCATGCAACATCGACTTGATCGCGATGTCCTCTCGTAATCCAGCGCAAAAAATTCATGCCGGAGAAGCGGCTCGTCGAGAGAATGCTATTCGAGAGGGTAAATCGCCTGGCGCGACGATTAATTTGCCTGTCTATTCAAATTAGTCGTTCGTCTCTACGGCGGCTGCGACAATTATCGAGGCGGCGTATACATTCGAAGAAGGGCGTGAAAAGATTACCGGTTGGCTCGAATTCGCGCGGAGCACCGTGAAATCGCCGAGACCTCTCTCTCTTTCTCTCCAATATTCTCTCTTTTCCTTCCTTTCGATGTGCGAGCTCGTTGGTCGAACTCGAAAAACTTGGAGGATGACCCCATTCGTCGTCGGGATCAGCACGGAAGATACGAGCGGAGAAAAGTTATCTCGCATCTGCGATCGCGGGAATGGGACTCGGAACGCGCGTTTTTCTTCCCTCTTCATTCCGGGATGTCGAATGGCATAATTTAGTCGCAATTGCCGTAGTTCATAGGGCGGCTGAAATCGCTCGACTCCGCTCGCGTGAAATCATATAGACGCGCGCGGCGCTCGAAGACTCAAACCATTTTTATACGGAGCTATTGTACGTATTCAGCGATTGTAACAATGCGCACAGTTATCGCGTCAAATAAAATCATTTATTCGGTTCCGTTAACAATAATTCCTTCCAATTTCATCAATTACTATTAAACTCGTATTTTTCTGATAGCCACATGTTTATGTTTTGTGTAAATTTTGTGTTTCGCTAGTACAATTTGTGTAATTAAAAAAAATACATGTACATACAGACTATTTTTTCACCGTAAAATCGCAGATTGAAGTAAACAAATTTTAAATACAAAATAATTCACTCCTGAATGGCGAATAACTTTGTATATGAGTCGCCAATATTTCATATATAGAATATCGGAAATATTTTATAGATATTATATGTATATTATATAACTATAAGCTATAAAACATATTGCGTTTTATAGCGTTTCATCGATTTGCAATTTTCGTCAATTAGCACCGATAGATGTAGAAAGTATTGATAACGTCTGGCAAGATCGATAAGACCAAGATAGTAATTCTCGGGGAAGTCCACGTAGAAGTTTAACGATTATTGTCCCGAACATACCTTCTAGCGGTATTCCGGATTGTCTTGAGACTCTCTATAGTACCATCGATGCGCCTAACGACTATTGGAAGCGACATGAAAGCTTGTTGCCGTGTAATACGATTTCGTGGATCTTTTATTCTCCGGCGCTCGTTCAGCGCATGCAAAACTGATGCACTAGGAACATATATAAGCAGTCGAAACAATTTTGTAAAATGTTGCGCAACTTTAATAATCAAATGACACTCTTAAATATTAGACGAAAAGAACACATGCGGTTGATTAGCTCGCAAGTAGATTTTGCTTCTCCCGCCTGCAACGAGCGTCAGATTGTTCCATGCATTACTTCCATCACACATACATTATTCCTAACTGCAATACTATACTCTCTCCAACATATAATATATTACGCTCGCGTGACGTTAGACGATTATCATTGTCAGACGAGAACGTTATCCGGTAACGAAACTCCGGCGAATCCGTGGCTGTATTAAAGTCAGAGACATTACAGATCACGGAAGTGAAATAAGGGAGGGAATAGAGAGGCGAAAGAGAGGGCGAGAGGAGAGAGAGACGTCGGCGGTTTCGCAAACCTGCCGGGTTTGCGGAAACGCGAGGTAACGAGCTGAGATAGCTGCGCTGCCTCTCGCGAAAGTTCTCGCGAAAATTTTCAGGCGTCCCCTGCTCGCGCTTGTTGTTCGCGTTGTCGCTCACGGACTCCGGAAAGATAACGCCACGGGCGTGTGCAGGCAGCATGCACGGTATGCGGGGAGCCAGTGATATAGTGTACACATGTACGCGTATATATACATAGGGTAAACGTAGCGCATTGT